TCTTTTATGGTTTAATTTGCATATAGTTGCTCAGCTCGGCTGGTGGGTGTGGCTTGGGGCGTAGCGAAGGTACGGTCAATTACCATTTTTGTCTTTTATTAGTGTAGATGTTTTTCCCTTTTATCTATATATTTATCTATTTTTGGAAAAGGAGAATAGAGAGCAGATAGGCCTGCGTTTGGTGAATGAAAGTAATTAAACTAATAGTCGAAGAAGAGAATATGCGAGGAGAGAAAAACAAAAGCATAAAATAAAATAAAAAACTAGAAAAAAACGTTGACTAGCGAAGAAATAGAAACGAGAAGGGTGCATGGTCTTGGAGCAGGGGAGAGGAAATTAGACATATGAGTCAGCCATCAGAGACTACTATGATAGTAATGTGTCAGTAAAGGAGATAATCAGTTTTTAACAAGGAGTGAAAAGAAAGGAGAGAGAAAACTGAAGCAGGAACAGGAGAATCGGAACAGGATGAAAATTGGGAAGTGAAAAAAGGGTTGGCATAAAGGAACAAATGAGATAGAGCAGAATAATGATAATAGAAATAGAATGTAGAACACTAATCTGCGGCTTTTTGGCCCCTTGAGTGTGGCTCTTCCTAAGCCTTAGGAGTACCCTAATTAAGTTAATAACAATGTACCTACCTATATAGTTTAAGTTTAAAAAGTTTGGCTCTCAAAAGAAATTTCAATCGTTGTACTGTTGATATTTGGCTCTGTTGACTGAGTTTGTCGACCACTGCCCTAGCCCATTTGGGTCAGTAGATAGACTGTCGGCCTGCAGACTGAAGGATCCCAGTTTTGATTCTGTTTCAAGGCACATGCCTGGGTTGAGGGCTCAATCACTGGTCGGGGGTATGCAAGAGGAAGCCATTCATTGATTTTCTCTCATCATTGATTTTTCTGTCTCTCCCTCTCCCTTCCTGTCTGAAATCAATAAAAATCTATTTTTTAAAAAGTGAAGTAGTGAAGTTCGTTCACTTCAGCTGTTTTAATGTCCATTGGAGGCTGGTTTAAGACCCCCCCTCTATTTTTCTGTCTGCCATGTCTCGGTTTCCTGTTAGGTAGTCAGCACTGTGTTTAATTCCCAGCGATCCATTGCTCCTCTATGTAGGACACCACAGCCTTGGTTTCAGGCAGGCGGGATAAATCAGCTGGCTTTGTTTTCCTGCCTGCTTTCAGTCATATTTACACAAGCGTCTATTTCTGACACGGCCTCTAGGTGGCGGTGTTTCTGTATTAGTTTCTGGTACCAAATTTCCCCTCAACCATGTCCCCAAGGACTCCCTGGGGATATTTTGAATCTTTGTTTCCCTCCTGAGCTCAAGGTTGGGTGCGCTGTGCTGCTAGGAGGGGCCTGGTCTTCGGGAGAAAAATGTCTGTTCAGGGTTGGAGGGATCGGACTATCCCAGAGCTGGCTTCCTGATCGTATCCCCATATTTTGCTCCCCAGCTCCACAAAACCACCTTCCCCAGCTCCTAATTCTTGGTGAGTGTTTGTAATTGAAAAATCCTATGCACTGGGTTTAGCAAGGAAAATACAAAGACAGAGCAACCACACTGCTGCATGTCTCTCATCACCCAGCACTGCACAGCCAGTGCAGAACTTTAGCCTGCCTTTCTGGGTGCAGCCTCCCAAGGCTGTGGGCTTAGATCTAGAATCCCAGGCTGTTCGCAGCCCTGTGGACCCCTTCCACAGTCGAGTGCTACACATGTCCCCAAGGGACCCAGAGTTGGTGCAGTGCAGTTTCCCACCGATACTCTAGTCCTGGCTACATGCATTTCTCCCTCGAGCCCAGAACCCCGATCCCACCACACTTCAGGCGACCCAGTCTGACCTTTCCATTCACGGATTGTCTCATTAGCTGTGTTTAATTCGCCAGTTCTGGATGGATGTTATTCAATTCAGCTGTTTCTTCTATCTGCTCCATGAGAAGGCGCTGGACCTGTCTGCCTATTAGGCTGCCATTTTTGTCCTCCCCCCCCTCAAACTTTTTAGGCTCCCACAGCTGAGAAGGCTGGAGTCTCGGTGTTTGTGGGTTCTCAGATGAGGCAGCTGGTCCCTGGCCAGTGTGGCTGTAGGGTCCCAGGTGGTGTCTGAGGTCTCCCCAGGTAGAGGTGAGGCTGGGCTCCCTGGGAGAGATTTCAGCGGTACTAGAGGCTGCCCGGCTAGGGGAGCTTGGTCCTCCAGTCCCCAACAGTCCTGCAGAATAACTGTCCCTCACTCAAACATACACACATGCCTCACATGTCCATGCTCTCTCACTCACACTCTTCCTCACTGCCGTCCTGTCGGCCACCATCTTGGATTCCTATTTTTGTATTATATATTTTTCCATACAAACAATTGTAAACCTGCTTTTGCTCACCCCATATATTACATATGGGTCTTTTTATGTATTTCACTTCTGTGCTCATTGTGTTTATATTTTCTTCTTACTTTCTTGAGCATATGGAGCATATTTATAATGGCTGGGTTGATGTCTTTGCTAATTCCATCACCTGTGCCATTTCTAGAGCTGTTTGTATTGATTAATTTTCTCCTGGTTATAAATGACAAGCTTGTTCTACTATGGCTGGTGGAAACATGAAATATTACCAGCCCTGTGTGTAAGGGCTTTTTTTGGCCTACAGCTTTTCAACGTTCTTTTCCTGGTACTCATGCATGGCATTGCTCATTATTTAGCCAGTGACTTGGGGCTATCCCTCTTGGGATGCCCAGAACTCAAGCTCTCTTTCACTCTTTGTAGCTCCCTGCTCTATGGTATTCTGCCATAGAAAGTATAGCTCCCTTGGCCTCCATTAACCTCCTGTCTCTGTTTCCCTCAAGGCCATGTGACCGATAGGCTCTATTCTGGTTACTTCTGTTTGCACTAGAGTCTGGAAACTACCTCTATGCAGTATGTGGGAGCAGATTTAGGGCTCTTCTAGTTTTTCATCTTTTAGGGCCCAGTGTCTGAAACCTTTAACATATTTTATCTTGTTTTCTACTTGTTTAAGATAGAGTAAATACAGTCTCAGATATACTCTCATAATCTAAAGCAGAAGTCCTCTTAGAATAATTTAATTTGTATTTTTAAAAAATAAGTGAAGGTAAACATCCTTTCACACATCATGGGGCAGTTTGTCTAGCTTTTTTTTGAAGAGCTTTCTACTCTATATCCTACCATTTTTCCATGATATTGTTGGTCTTTTCATTCTCTATTTGTGGAAGGACTTTACATGTTAAGGATTTTAATCCCTTCTCTCTAATATGAAATGCACAATTTCCCATCAATTTGTCATGTGTCTTTTTAGCATATTTTGCTGTTGATATCTTTTCTGAGACTTTATTATGATTGTGATGCATTATTGTATCTCTGATTTCTTAGTACTGGAGAATTGGGTAGGTATTAGGCAAGGAGGAGGATTCAGAAGTTTATCTCACTCTGATTATTTGAAAAATGGTTGAGCTAAGAAGTTCTGACTTATTCAGTATCTATATTAAGTTTTTGTGTAGTATAATGATATGATACATGAATGTTTTTCTAGGTAGCTACATGATTTACTCCCTAACTCCCTCAGAACTCTGCTCAATTAACTTTATCAGAAAGGTCTTCTGTAATCACCCTATTTGAAATGTTAACACTCTTACATATTTCTATCCTCTGTTTATTTTCCTCTACAGCAGTTATCACAATTTGACATGACACATATTTTGCTAATTTATGTATTATCATTTGTGTTGTTCCCAATATGCTGGTACCATGAAGGCAAGGATTTTGGACTTTTAATACTGCCTGGCACATAGTAAGCACTCAATTTGTTTTGGTTAAATAATCAAACTTCCCTTTATATAGATTGTTCTGGGACCAATTGAAAGATGAACTGGAGAGACAGGGAAACTTCAGAAAGAAGGAACAATTAGGTCCAACAATTAGGTCCCTTTACAGTAGTCTTACATGTGAGGTGGCAGGTTAGCTGGAGTGATAGCAGTGAGGATAAAAGAGAAGAGACTAGTGGGACTCACATTAAACATCATTCTTATTTGTATTTGTAATTATTAAGTAAAAAGGAAAATATTTGTATTTGGGTTGTATTTTTAATGTAGATATTAATAAAGCAAAAGTATAGATGATTGAAAGTGATGTGACTTTTTTGTTCTTACAAAATGTTACTTTAAAAATGTAAACATTAAAGTAACTAGTGGAAGTCATGCTGATTTTTCTGATTTACTTTCTTCTTTTTTTTTTAGAGCTTTGCTTCCTGTTTTACATCACAAATCTAAAAAAGGACCTCCCCGTCAAGCCAAATATGCTATTCATTGTATCCATGCAATATTTTCTAGTAAAGAGACCCAGTTTGCACAGATATTTGAGGTAAAGAAAAAAATAAATTTTATTTCATATGTTATAGTTAAAAAACAAATACTAATGATTTTATAGAATATAGAATGTTCATATTTGGAGATACATCATTTTATAGTATACAGTAAGTCTTCAACTTTATTGATGGGTTATGCTAAGTGAAATGGTGTATAACAAAAACAATTTAAAAAAAAAAACAATTTTACCATTGGCTGATTGATATAAACAAGAGTTAAGTTCCTGTGGCATCTCAAGAAAATGACATTATTCGAGTACCTGCTGTATGTTTAGAATTGGATCAGTATAATTGCTATTAATGAATGCGTTGTGCCAACTAAAATTTAGATAGCAAACAATTGTATAATATTTTTGATATTTATTTATATTTATACATTGTATATTGTCTTTATACCTTATATATTGTATTTATACCAACACATGTAGTATTAGGAAACCTTTATTAATAATGTAATCCTCTTACTGTCACATATAAGGTTGGCTGGCTTTCTGAAAAAAGATTTCATAGAAATATGTGACCTTTATGAGGTTACTAATAATACAGCTCTGGCCATTAATTTTGCTTTTTCAGAAATGATTTTATCATTTTATTGTGGAAAATGTTCACACTACTATAATAAACTAATTGAAACTAATTTACACTATCAGATTTTTGTCTATAATATAAACAGCAAGCTGGAATTTACGTGCAATGGAGGTATTCAGGGAAGTCATCAAGAATAGCAAAAAGTACATTCATGTAAATACACTATTTTTAAAAATCCTCACCCAAGGATATTTTTTCCATTGATTTTTAGAGAGAGTAGAAGGGAGGGAGGAGGGCGAAAGCAAGATGGACATCACATATCCCGACTGGGTTAGGGATGAAACCTGCAACCTAGGTGTCTGCTCTTGACTGGAAATTGAACCTGTGACCTTTTGGGCCCAGGGACGACACTCTAGCCACTGAGCAAAAGGGGCCAGAGCTAAATATACATTTGATTAAATGAAATTTTATATTGCCCTGATATGTTGGGAAAGAACAGTTCTGTATTGTTTTTTCATACTTAAGATTTCTTGGTGTTCAGTATGGGTGGATAGAGCATCAATTCTTCATTAAAATCTGTTATGGCCATAGCCAGTTTGGCTCAGTGGATAGAGTGTTGGCCTGAGGACCAAAGGTTCCCAGGTTCGATTCCAGTCAAGGGAACGTACCTTGGTTGCAGGCTCTTCCCCTGCCCAGGCTCTGGTAAGAGCGCTTGCAGGAGGCAACCAACGTGTTTCTCTCACATCGTTGTTTCTCTCTCTTTCCGTCTCTCTTTTAGTCTCCCCAAAAATCAGAAAAAAATATCCTCAGGTGATGATTAACAACAAAAAAAAAACCTGTTATGAAAATTTGTAATAACTAGTATATTCACTTTTTTCACATTCAAAAGATACAAAACAAATACCCAAATAGTAAAAAGTTTTGTGCTGCACCCGACTCCTGTATCCCCAGCCACCACCTAGTTCCTTTTCTCAGAGGCAACCAATGTTATCAGTTTCTAATGTACTTTTTTAGAGAGGTTTTATTCATATACAAATAATATAAATACAGACATACACATTTTGTCTCCTGCCCTATACCAGTGATAGCATACTATAGTCACTCCTATGAATATTTGATTTTTAAAATTTAGCAATACATTTTATATATCAGTCTGTATATGAGGAGCCTCATCCTTTTTCACTACAAAATGCATATATTAGTTGGGTTTCCTGTCAGAAAAATAAAATAATTTTATTAGTTAGAAATTCAGTATTTGATACTATGAAAATCCACAAGAAATGCATGTGACTATACATAATAAAAGCTTTTTCTTGCTCCTGAAAAAGACAATTAGGCTGTTTGGATTGCATTCTGACCAGTGGCTTAGGCACACTAACTCTTTTTGATTAATGGCTTCCCTTTAAGTCCCACTGAATCCTTGCTATTTAGCCAGCCAGTGAGTAAGGAGGGAGAATGTGGAGAAGACACATCGATCATACCTGCCTCAGTGTAGACATGACATACCTCACTTTTACTCCCATTCTGTTAACCAGACTTATTCACATATCCTCATCTAACTGTAGGAGGCTGCACCTATAGTCAGGAAGTAGAAAAGAAGAAGATATTGGTGAGCCCAGCTATCTCTAACATATTCATATATGTGGTCATTAAGTATATGATTTTTTGTGCTGAAATGTTTCTTTACCTACCTCTAAATATGACATAAGCAAAACCAAAAATATTTAAACATGATGCTTTCTAGATGTAAATAACATTATAGTGAGCAGTTGAGGTTGAGCAGCCTTAGCATATTACACTTTGATTGGTTGAATGGATGACCAGACACTTAGCGTATTAAGCTTTTATTATATAGGATTTATAAAGTTGGGTATTTTCCTTTCCTCATTTTCAGCCTCTGCATAAGAGCCTAGATCCAAGCAATCTGGAACATCTTATAACCCCATTGGTTACTATTGGTCACATTGCTCTCCTTGCACCTGATCAATTTGCTGCTCCTTTGAAGTCTTTGGTAGCTACTTTCATTGTGAAAGATCTTCTCATGAATGATCGGGTAAGTTATTTATATCCTTTAGACTCGTGTTCTTCATAATGTTATCTTCTAAAATTTTATATAGCAAAGAGAAGTGAAATGACATAACACTTCTACTTGGCTGCCTTATTTTAGGTTTTCTTATCTTATGCTATCTCTCCATTATAAGTAAAACAACATTGAAACATCTCTTTAGTTGAGCCAAGTCATGTAATCTGAAATACATTACTTGATAACTACAAAATATCACCTGATTCTGTTTTCAACTTTACAAGGATTTAATTTTTTATGACATCTCTTTTGTAAAATGTGAAGACTGACAAGCTTGTTCACAGTATGGTTGTCATGACAGTAGTTGTTCCTTTCCCTATATACAATAGAGAATTAAGAGAGCTCTGAGAGGAAACATTGGGAAAGAAAGAATGATCTTCTTGTCTGTCTTCCATTTGTGAGTACAGTTGTCCCCCATCATCTGCAATTGCGTTTTTTGCCATTTCAGTTACCCACACTCAGTTGCATTCTGAAAATATTAAATAGAAAATTCCAGAAATAACCAATTTGTAAGTTTTAAATCTTGCACCTTTCTGAGTAGCCTGATGAAATATCTTGCTGTCCTCTGTCTTGCCCGGGATGTGAATCATCCCTTTGTCCAGCATCTCCATGTGGTACATACAGAACAATAAGATATTTTGGGAGATTGAGAAAGTAACCACATAACTTCTGTCACAGTATATTGTTAAAATTGTTTTCTTATTAGTTATGAGAGGCCGGTGCATGAAATTCGTGCACGGAGGGGTGTCCCTCAGCCCGGCCTACACCCTCTGCAATCTGGGACCGCTGGCTCCTAACCACTTGCCTATCTACCTGCCTGATCGCCCCTAACCGCCTCTGCCTGCTAGCCTGATGCCCTAATGGCTCCCCTGCTGGCCTGATCTCACCCTAACTGCTCCCCTGCCAGGCTGATCTCCCCCTAACTGAGCCTCAGGCCACTGGGGAACAGCAGGCTGGCCCTGGGTGGCTGGGCAGCCACCATCTCTGGCTTTCCTGAGTCTCAGGCTGGCCCTGGGCAGGGCAGCCACCATCCATGGCTTGCCTGAGCCTCAGGCAGCCACTGCGGCTTTGTGTGGAAGGATGTCCGGATGGTCATCCGGAATATGTCTGGTCTAATTAGCATACTACCCTTTTATTAGTACAGATTGTTGATATCTTATAGTGCCTGATATATAAATTAAACTTTATCATGGGTGTTATGTTCAGGAAAAAACAGATATTTAGGGTAGGACAAAAGTAGGTTTACAGTTTTGAGTATGTGAAACAGAGTTTATATTATTATTTATTAATTATTATATTATTTTCTATGCAAACAACTGTAGACCGACTTTTGCCCCAGCTTATATGCTAGCCACTATTCGCATATAGCTATTTAAATTTTGTTTAAATAAACTAACTATAATTATAAATATATTCACACATCTCAAGTGCTCAGTAGCCACATATGAATAGTATTAGCACCGAACATCTCCACCATCTCAGAGAGTTCTATTGGACAGTTGCTCTAGAAACTTTATTGTTTTAATTTTCACATTTAACTCTAGTACACTTGGAATTGATTTTGTATATGGTTTGAGATAGATGTCCAGATTCATTTTTATTTCCATCTGACTCAGCACCATTTATTGATGACTTTCTTCCCTGCTGCTTTAAAAAAAATACATGAAATTCATATAACATAAATTAGCTATTTTAAAGTATGCAATTCAAGTAGAATTTAGTACAGTACATTCACTGTGTTGTACAATCACCATGTTTATCTAGTTCCATTTTCATTAAGTAGTCACTCCCTAAATATTTCCTCCTGCCTCTGGCAACCACCAATCTTCTTTTTGTCCAAATGGATTTACCTGTTCTGAATATTTCCTATAAAGAAAATCATACAGTATGTGACCTTGTGTCTAATTTTTAATGTTTTTGAGGTCCTTCTTCACTGTAGCATGTATCAGTGCTTCATTTCATTTTATGGATGCATAATATTCTTTTGTATGTGTTTACCACAATTTGTTTATGCATTCCTTCATTGTTGGACATTTGGATTGTTTCCACCTTTTGAATTTATAATTCACTATTGTGAATAGTACTGCTATGAATTTTGTGTCTGAGTATTTGTTTGCAGATCTAATTTTAGTTCTTTGGAGTACATACTTAAGAGTAGATTTGCTGGATTATATGGTAATGTTATGTTTTAACTATTGAGGAATTGCTGAACTGTTTTCACAATGGCTACACCATTTTACCTTCCCACCAGGAGTGTACGAAAGTTTTAATTTCTTAACATCCTTACCAACTTGGTTTTTTTTTTTTTGTTAATTTATTATAGCCATTATAGCTATTCTAGTATGTGTGAAGTGGTATCTAATTGTGGTTTTGATTTGCATTTTCTAATGACTAATGAAATTGGACATCTAATGTGCTTTGTACCTATTTCTGTATCTTTTTTGGAGGAATGACTATTCATATCTTTTGACCTTTTATTGCTTTATCTTTTTGTTGAGTTGTAATAGGTCTTTATATATTCTAGATACAAGTCTCTTATCAGATATATGATTTGCAAATATTTTCTCTCATTCTGTAGATTGTCCTTTCACTTCTTCAAGTTCCTTAATTTTTAAAAATTGATATATACATCATTATATTAGTTTTAGATGTCAACATAATGATTCAATATTTGTATGTATTGTGAAATGATCAGCACAGTAATTTTCTGTGGTGAGAACTTATGATATCTATTCTGTTAGCATTTTCAAATATATAATACAAATATAATAACATATAATATAAATAGATAAAAATATGAAATATGTAAATATAAAATATATAACATGCAAATGTAAATATCTTATCTAATAAAAGAGAAACATGGTAATTAGCCGTACGTCTGCTACCCTTCGCATTGGCTAATCAGGGTGATATGCAAATTAACTCCAGCCAAGATGGTGGCCGGCAGCCAGGCAGCTTGAAGCTAACATGAGGCTTGCTTGCTTCAGTGACGGAGGAAACCAACG